CATCTTCTAGCCTTCCTATAGCATCTAAATCCCGAAACATTGAGCTGCCAGTCCTGTCCCTCTCTCATCTATGTTTCTGTAATAGCCATAATGTCCCAGTGCCATGTTCCCATACACGCCCTGAGTTCATCTGCCTTACCTGTAAGACACTTTGCATTGAAATAAATGTAGTTTAATTCATCAAAGTTACATCTGACTTGCTCTTGCCTGCCTTTTCTATTTAACTTGCTCTTTTTAAATTCAGAACCATCCTCATCTGTCTTCCTATTCTCACTACCACTTAGGATCCCCCTGTACATCAACCACCACCACCCCTACTAGTTTAAAGACTCCCAAATTATGTTAGCAAATCTCCCCAACAGGAAGGGTCTAGGCCCGAAACGTCAGCCTCTCTGCTCCTATGATGCTGCTTGGCCTGCTGTGTTCATCCAGCCCTGCACCTTGTTGTCCAGGATATTGGAACCTTCTAGTTCAGGTGAAACCCACCCTTTTGAACAGGTCTTTTCTGCCCCAGAAGAGATTCAAATGATACAAAAATCTGAATCCTTGCCCATTACACCAGCCATTGATTTATCTGCCCTATCTTATTATTCTTACTCTCACTAGCACATAGCACTGGGAGTAATTAAGAGATTACTGCCTTTCAGAGGGTCTGCTTTTTAACCTTCTACCTAACTTCCTATATTCACTCTGCAAAGCCTAAACCCTTTCCCTTTTCCCTTATTATGTTGTGAGTCTTAGCATTTAGAGAATTGTAGAATTCAGTAAAGGGGCAGGCCAAAAAATTTGATAAAGGGAGAACCAAATCTGAACATAAAATACCAAGAAACATAAAAAATGAACTGTAAAATTCTCTATTGTTATTTTAAAACAAAAAGAATAGCTAAGCAAAATGTGTGCCCATTACAGGCAGAGATAGGAACATTTATACCAGGGGACAAAGAAATGGCAGAGAAGCTAAATAAGTACTCAGAAATAGAAAGAACTGCAGATGCTGGAGTCAGAGATAACACTGTGTGGAGCTGGAGGAACACAGCAGGCCAGGCAGCATCAGAGGAGCAGGAATGTGGTCTATTGCATCTGCTACTCCCGATGTGGCCTCCTCTACATCGGTGAGACCAAGCGGAGGCTCAGAGATCACTTTGTACAGCATCTGCGCTCTGTTCATGACAAACGGCAACACCTTCTGGTCGTGAACCATTTCAACTCCCCCTCCCACTCCCTGGGTGACATGTCCATCCTGGGCCTCCTCCAGTGTCACAATGACACCACCTGGAAACTGGAGGAGCAGCACCTCATATTCCGCCTCGGGAGCCTACAGCCCAATGGCCTAAATGTGGATTTTACAAGTTTCAAAATCTCCCCACCCCCGGCCTCATCCCATGACCAACCTCCCTCTCATCCCCACCTCCTTGACCTGACACAACCTGTCCATCTTCTCTCTCACCTATCTGCTCTTCCCACCTCACTGACCAATCCCCACCACTGCCTACCTGCACTCACCTATCAGCATCTCACCTACCTTCCCCAGCCTCACTCCTCCTCTCTCTATAATTCTGAACTCCCTTCACAGCCCCCCTCTATTTCTGAAGAAGGGTCCTGGCCTGAAAAGTCAGCTAAATAAGTACTCTGTGTCTGTCTTCATAGAGGAAGACACAAGAGGCCTCAATGAAATATTTAAGATCCAAGGGTCTCTTGACAACGTGGAATGGACAAAAGTTAGTATTAGTCAAAAAAGTAGCACTGTGGAAATTAATGGCATTAAAAAGTTAACAAATCCAGGAAATCCATTGACTTTCACCCTAGAGCAGTGAAGGAGTTGGTCACAGAGATACTGGATGCGTTAGTGATCGCAAGTTAGTCAGATAGATGGGTGACTGTCAGGGCATATAAGAAGATAGTTCAGGGGTGTCCTGTGACTATTCCTCTCTCAAACAGATATCCTATTTGACGTTTTCCCAGCCACCATCAGTTCTGAGGAAGGGTCACCAGACCTGAAACATTAACTCTGTTTTTGCCTTCACAGATGTTGCCAGACCTGCTGAGCTTTTCCAGCAACTTTGGTTTTGTTCCTGATTTACAGTATCCACAGTTCTTTCAGTTTTTATTTTGTATTCTATTTGGGTACTGTTGAGAAGGATTGTCTCTCAATGGAAAATAGGAAGGCACCAAGAATGAACCTTAAGTGGGGTTTGTCAAGATTCAAATGAGTAATTGTTATAGGGGAATCTCCTGTCAGGGGTACAGACAGGAGATTCTGCAGCTGTGAACGTGAATTCAGGATAGCATGTTGCCTCCCTGGCGCAAGGGTCGAGGACGTCTCAAAATAGGTGCAGCATTTTGTCAAAGGGGAGAGTGAGGGAAGATTTTCTGGCAATTTTATAAGACGTGAGGAATGAAAAATAAAAGCTAGCCGAGTCAGCAATGCCCACATTAATCAGTTAGTAAAAAAGCAGTAGAGGAAGGCCATTCGGCCCATCAAGTCTGCTTTGCCATTCAATCATGGCTGGTGTGTTTCTCAACCCCATTCTCATGCCTTCTCCCTGTAACCCTTGATCTCCTTACCAAATAAGAACCTATCTGTCACTGCCTTAAACAGACTCAATAATTTGGCCTCCACAGCCTTCTGCAGCAATGAGTTCCACAGATTCACCGTCCTCTGGTTGAAGAAATTCTTCTTCGTCTCAGTTCTAAAGGGCAATTTTTTCATTCTGAGGCTGTTCATCTGGATCCTGGTCTCTTCTACTAGTGAAAACATCTTCTCCACATCCATTCTATCCAGGCCACCCGGTATTCTGTCAGTTTCAATGAGATACTTGCTTACTATGATCTGCCTGTACCACTCGTAAACAAACTTTGTACTGTATTTTGGTACGTGTGACAATAAATCAATCAATCAATCATGAAGCCATGGTTTGTCTCCCATCCTGATGGTAACTGTAGAGTGAGGGATATGCTCAGCCATGAGGTTTCACATTGTAGTTAAGTACAATTCCACCATGTCCCACAGAGCGTCATCAATACCCAATCATGAGTTGTTAAGAGCTATTCTAAATCTACCATGTTTAGAATGATAGTCATGACACAGAAATGATGGAAAGTACGCTCAATGTGAAGGAGGAATTTCATCTTTACAAATTTTATACCGTGGTCACTTCTACCAATACTTTCGTGAACTGGTGTTTCTGTGGTTGGTAGGTTTGTGAGCATCAAATCAAATGTGTTTTTTTTTCTTATTGTTTCCCTCACCATCTGCAACATGCTCTTTGGAATTGGTGAGGTCGATCAGTAGTAGCATCATTGACTGAGGGCAAGACAGCAGGGAGCTAGCACGAGATTTTTGTGCTTATGTTTTACCAGATGTGGTGGGGGTGCATGGTGGGAGTCAATTTTGAGGACTCCATGGGCAACTCCCTCCCAGATGTCCAGTATTGTCCCAATGGAACAGGACCTGAAAGGTGGCAAAGGAGTCTAGGTGATCTGTGCAGTAGGATTGATTTGGTGAGTATGACTACATCAGGCTGTTGTTTGACCAGTCTGTGGAATGGATAACCACATTTTCACACAAGCCACAAGTCATTAGGACATTGAACATAGAACAGTATAACACAGGAAAAGGCCCTTCCACACACCATTTCTGTGCTGACAACGATGCCATTATAAACTAATCCCATCTGCCTGCACACAGTCCATATATCCCTCTATTCTCAGCCTGTTCGTGTGTCTGACTAAATGACTTTTAAACATTGCTATTATATCTACTTCTATCACCTCCCATGACAGCATGTTCCAAGCATTTAGCATCCTCAATGTAAAAAACTTGTCTCGCACATCTTTTAGCATTCCACTTCAACCTATGCCCCCTAGTATTTGACATTTACACTCCCAAAAAAACTGACTATCCACCCTTTCTGTGCCTCTAATAATTTTACATACTTCTATTAGCCTTTGACATTCTAGTGAAAACAATCCAACTCTGTTGATACTCTGCAATCCAGACAACATCCTCATAAACCTCTTCTGCACCTTCTCCAAATCCTCGACATCCCTCCAATACTGTGGCAACTAGAACTGCCCACAATGCTCCCTAACATTTGATATATTAGGAAGGAGAACTTTTTGGTTCAACAGGGCTGAGTTTACCATTGACATTTCCACAGCCTAAGTTGACACCAGATTGGTCTAGTTGCATTCCTTATTGACTTTTCTGTACCAGTTTTGTGCAACCCATGTCTTGCTAGATGATTTCTGAGGGTATTTAAGAGGACATTGCTGAGGGTATGCATAAAAATGGTGGCCAGACTAGGGAAGGATATCAGACTTTTTTGCTTAAGGGACATTGCTAAACCATATGGGTTATAGGACCATTGATGATAGTTTTATGATCACCATTTCTGGAAGTAGCTCATTACAAATTTGGAGGAAAGCAAACAGTGAAGAGTATGTGAATGGGAAGACAATGACAGATAGAATTTAATATTGAGATGTGTGAGGTAGAAGGGATCAGGAGAGGCAAAAATAAACCTAATGGCACAGTTCTAAAGAGTGCTTTGAGACACTGACTTGAGAATTCACAAGTGTCAATGATCATGGGATAGTATCTGGGAACTTGAGCTTAAATGGAGTCACTAAGTGCAAAAGCAGCAAAGTTATGCTGAACCTTGAAAAAACTTTGGTTATTCACCAACTAAACTATTACACCCAGTTTTGGTGATTACACTTTATGAAAGAGGAAGGGTATTGAGAGGCTGCAGTGAACATTTACCAGATGGTTCAGGGCTAAGGTATATTAATTAAAAGGTATGTTCAAAAAGATGTGCACATTTTCCTTGGATCAAAAGAGGCTGAGGAAAGATTTGGTAGAGGAGAACAAGATTATGCTACATCTCACCCCACTTATGTTCTTGATTAAAATAGCTCTTTTATTAAGCTAAAGCATATTATTGTAGGCTAACCTACAGTTCAGGTGGATTGGAAAAGAGGTAATAATGGAGAAGTACCTGATGTAGAAGAATGTGACCTCTGGAATACCGAAATCCTTCAATTAGTAAGTGAACTACTGAGGATATGGAGCCAGCAAGGATACCCCAGAGCAGCGGGATAGGGAGCATGGTATAAGTGCCGAATACAATGAATAGAATGAACCAGGTCTCATTGGTTTCCAAGCCCATGCCCCAGCTCAGGAGAATCTGTACAGACTGATAGAACCAGGTAGCAAGTCCAAGATATTGCAGATAGTTGTGTGATATGGCATCTTTGCCGGCTTGCACCAGAAAACACAACATGGAAGAGAACAGAATGAATAGGCCAGTCACCCCAGTCAGCAAGGGCTCAATCAGTTCAGGTGCAACAACGAAAAACAACATCATAATGTTAAACTTGGTGAAACAATCTATGATGTTCATCATCATAAGAGAGATACGTCTCTGACGGGCAAAGTAGCGCTGGTACAGCTTCTCCAAATCTTTGGATTTGAATGTCTGGTTTATGGTGGGCAGTAAGATTCCCAAGCAGCTAAAACCAGGAGACACGAAGATGTCAGACATCCTCTCGCTGACGGGTGCTGTTGCGAATACAGTCGGGAAGATGGAGCTCTTAGCCCTGCCGGTGAGCTTGGACTGGATCTGTTGGTTGATGTCCTCGATGTACTCATTCTTGATGATGAACCTACGCTTTGGCACGCCATCACTATCGGTCAGCCGCTCGTGCCGTTTACTGAAGACATTTACGATGTTTTGCCACTGACGGGATTGTGTGGGGCTGTGATGAGACATTGTGACAGTGGTGGTTTGCAACTCGGCAGACTCCACTAACGTTTCCATGTTTAGGTTCTCAGTGTACCCGCTGAACTCCAGATAGTCTGAAGACGCGTTGGGGGCGAGAGGCTGGAACTTCCGCTGTCTTAATATTCAAACTTTGACAAATTCCGAAACCGCATGATTCTTCAGGGATTGTCCGATTGCTCCCAATTTCAAGGCATTCACTTTAACTGAATTACAGCTTTATCACAATGTAAGGACTGAAATAAGAATAAACGTGTGATCAAAAAGAGAGCACCCACTTTCATGTCTGTTTCAGTAAATAACTGCGGTGATTCTACGTCTGGGCTGCTCAGGTTTTGAGAAGAGCTGTCGCTATCCAGCGTGCTGAAAAGTGCTGGGGCCTTGCTGATGTTGTTGACTCCACCCGATCCCTTGACCCAGCCCTTCTGCCTCTAGCCACAGGTCACTTGTGACAGCCCCGCAGCCTTGTTCAGTCACAATGGCATTGAGGGCCTCAGCTCACACGCCAAACTCCATTGTTAGCGTCGGCAAGTCCTATCACTGATCAGCGAGGAGATCAAAGCTTTGCATCGCTAAATCCCATTGGGCAGCTAACTCATGAGCTCATTGGTTGACACTAGACAATGTGGTGATGACGGATTTGGCTGCAATCTTTGAGACTCAAGAGCACCGCTGAGCAATTGCGACAACCTCACGCCCTAACTCTCTTCAGTATTACTGAGACCTTTTATCTTGCATCGCACACTATATCCAACCACTCTCAATAGAATCATGCAGAGGATCCTATTTCCGTTTGGGGAAATCTGCATTAATCGGCTGAAGTGTATTATTTAAACCGATGGGTAAGAAAAGGTTGAAAGGAGATTTCACAGGCGAATTCAAAACAGTAACCCGACTAGAGAGAATCTGTTCCCAATGGTGGAAGTACCAAGAATAGAGAACACAGATGTAAGGGAATTGGCATCCAAAGAACATCTTCCTTCCACAGAGGAGTGATTCAGATTTGGAAGGCATTGTTTGAGAGTGTGATAAAGCCAGGGTTAATCGAGGAATTCAAAAGGAAATTGGATATTTACCTGAAAAACAAGTATGCACACACCTACAGAAAAGGGGCAGATATGTCAAGTGAACAGCTGAATACACTCCATTTGTGTTGTAACTATTTTATATAGTCTATAAATTGTATTGGTGACTGAGGGGACGTGGAGCCTGAGTGGCAATGATCATTTCCCCTTCCCCCAACTCAATAATATGGAGCAACAAACCTCAAAGTCAGAGAAGTCTGGAAGCATGATTGGTTCACCTTCACAGATGGAATAAGCCATCTAATGACTATATTGTAACCAACTCCCATCAGTCTGTGCTGAAAGAAGCCTACTGCTTTTTTGATAATAATGGCATAATAATCCAAACGAGAATCTTTTAAGGCTCATTGGTGACAATTAGCAGTAGGGCTCACTGCATAGTGAAAAATAATTAAAATATAACAAGCTCACCTAAAGATGAGCCTTGCACTAAGACCATCATGCTAAAGTATTAAAACTGAAGCCTGAAACAATAATGCAAATAGGGACAAATTATATGCATTCTAATTAAGACTCACGACTTGAAGATTTATATTTATTTCTTATCTTTCGTGACTGCAGGCTGTACTAAAATATTTTATAACTGGGGAGGTGACGGCCTAGTGGTATTATCGCTGGACTATTAATCCAGAGACCCAGATAGTGTTCTGGGGACCCGGGTTTGAATCCTGCCATGGCAGATGATGGAATTTGAATTCAATAAAATATATCTGGAATTAAGAATCTAATGATGACCATGAATCCATTGTCAATTGTCAGAAAAACCCATCTGGTTCACTAATGTCCTTTAGGGAAGGAAACTGCCATTCTTACCTGGGCTGGCCTACATGTGACTCCAAACCCAGAGCAATGTGGTTGACTCTCAACTGCCCTCTGGGCAATTAGGGATGGGCAATAAATTCTGCCTGGCCAGTGATGCCCTCATCTCATGAATGAATAAAGAATATACACTTAAAAACTCTGTTTTTGAATAATTTTGTACATCTGTTGTGAGTTCAGACAGGTCCTCTTAGCTTAATAGCTCTTTTCAAAACTGCCATTCATTCACAGGTGGCTGCAGTAGAAAAGGAAGCCATTGAGCTCAACACATCCACTTTGGCTCTCTGCAAGAGTTCCATTTATCCATCCTCTGAGAAACCCTGCAATTTCTTTCCCTTCAGTTAATGATCCAATTCTCATCTGATATCTTGATTGGATCTGCCTCCAGTATATTCTCACGCAATGTATTCCAGAACATAAAAACAAAATCCCTTATGTCACCATTGCTTAGTTTACCAATCACTTTAAAGTTTTGACCCCTGGTGCTCAATCGTTCCAATGGGAGATTTCTCCCATCTACACTGTACATACAGATCCCTCGTAACTTTGAAGTCGTCTCTCATATTTCCTACAAAATGTCTCATTGCCAAAGAAAACAACCCAACTTCTCCAGTTATCCTCACCCCTGGAATTAGTCTTGTGAATAATTTTTGAACCTCTAAATCCTTCACTCCCTTCTTAAAATATGGTGCCCTGAACTGGATTCAATACCCTAGATGAGCTTGAAATGTCCTTATTTTTGTACTTAATGTCCCATATATATAGTCCAGAATCAAGTAAGATTTATTAAACACTTTCTCACACTGGGATAGGCGCTGGCCTAGTGGTATTATCGCTAGGCGATGAATCCAGAAACCCAGCTAATGTTCTGGGGACTTGGGTTTGAATCCCAACATGGCAGATGGTGGAATTTGAATTCAATAATTAGGAAAAAAATGTATGGAATTAAGAATCCATTGATCACCGTGAAATCATTACCTATTGTCGGAAAAACCCATCTGGTTCACTATTGCCTTTTAGGGGATGAAATCTATCACCCTCACCTTGTCTGGCCTACATGTGACTCCAGACCCACTGCAATGTGTTGACTCTCAATTGCCCTCTGAAATGGCCTAGCAAGCAATTCAGTTGTAGCAATTGCTACAAAGCCTCAAAGAAATGAAATCGGACATATCACCTGGCATCGACCTAGGCACCGAAAAAGACAACCGCAGAAACAGCCCTGTCAACTATGCAAAGTTCTCCTCACTAACATCTGGGGGCTAAAATTGGGAGAGCTGTCTCACAGACTAGTTAAGCAACAGCCTGACACAGTCATACAGAATCATACCTTACAGACAACATCCCAGACACCACCATCAACATCCCTGGATACGTCCTGTCCCACCGGCAGGGCAAATCCAGCAGAACTGGTGGCACAGTGGTATACACTTTGGAGGTTGTTGCTCTGGGAGTCCTCAACATTGACTACGGACCCCATGAAATCTCATAGCATCAGGTTAAACGTGGGCAAGGAAATCTCCTGCTGATTACCACATACCGTCCTCCCTCAGCTGATGAATCAGTACTTCTCAATGTTGAGTAACACTTAGAGGAAGCACTAAGGATGGCAAGGGCACAAAACGTACTCTGGGTGGGAGATTTCAATGTCCAAGAGGGGCTTGGCAGCAGTACCACTGATCGAGCTGGTAGGGTCCTAATGGACATAGCTGCTAGACTGGGTCTGTGGCAGGTGGTGAGGGAACCAACAAGAGGGGAAAATGTACTTGACCTCATCCTTACCAATCTGCCAGCTCCAGTTGCATCTGTCCATGACAGTATTGGTAAGAGTGACCATCGCACAATCCTTATGGAGACGAAGTCCCACCTTCACATTGAGAACAACCTCTGTTGTGTTGTGGCACTATGACCGTGCTAAATGGGACAAACTTCGTACAGATCATGCAACTCATGTCTGGGCATCCATGAGGCGTTGTGGGCCATCAACAGCGGCAGAATTGTACTCCAGCACAATGTGTAACCTCATGGCCTAGCATTTCCCCCACTCAACCATTATCATCAAGCCAGGGGATCAACTCTGGTTAAATGAAGAGTGTAGGAGGGCATGCCAGGAGCAGCACCAGGCATACCTGAAGATGAGGCATCAACCTGGTGAAGCCACCAAACAGGACTATTTGCACGGCAAACAGCGAAAGCAGCAAGTGATAGACAGAGTTATGTGATCCCACAACCAAACGGATCAGATCTAAGATCTGCAGTCCTGCCACATCCAGTCGTGAATGGTGGTGGACAATTAAACAACTCACTAGAGGAGGAGTCTGCACAAATATCCCCGTCCCCAATGATGGAAGAGCCCAGCACATCAGTGCAAAAGATAAGGCTGAAGCATTTACAGCAATCTTCAGCCAGAAGTGCCTTTTGGATGATCCATCTCGGCCTCCTCCAGTGGTCCCCAGAATTACAGATACCAGTCTTCAGCCAATTCGATTCACTCCATGTGAAATCAAGAAATGGTTGGAGACACTTGATACTAAGGCTATGGGCCCTGACAACATTCCAGCAACAGTCCTGAAGACTTGTGCTCTGGAATTGCCACTCCCCTAGCCAAGCTGTTCCAGTACAGTTACAACACTGGTATCTACCCAACAAACATGGAAAATTGCCCATGTATGTCCTGCACACAAAAAGCAGGACAAATCCAACCCGGCCAATTACCGCCCCATCCGACTACTCTCAATCATCAGTAAAGTGATGGAAGGTGTCATCAACAGTGCTATCAAGCAGCACCTACTCAGCAATAACCTGCTCAGTGACACCCAGTTTGGGTTCCGCCAGGGCCACTCAGCTCCTGATCTCATTACAGCCTTGGTTCAAACATGGACAAAAGAGCTGAATTCCAGAGATGAGGTGAGAGTGATATCAAGGCTGCATTTGACCGAGTGTGGCATCAAGGAGCCCGAGCAAAACTGGAATCAATGGGTATCAGGGGCAAACGCTCCGGTGGTTGGAGTCATACCTGATACATAGGAAGATGGTCATGGTTGTTGGAGTTCAATCATCTCAGCTCCAGGACATCTCTGCAGGAGTTCCTCAAGGTAGTGTCCTAGGCCCAACCATCTTCAGTCGCGTCATCAA